CATCGACTCCTCCCAGCGCCGCCTGCGCCCGAAAAAACCCCAAAATCGCCCGGATTTCACCCAAAATCCGACTCCAAACCCCCAAATTCTGATCCGGGAGGGTCGAATTGACCCAAAATGACCCAAATTCGGTAAAAATTGACCCAAAATTGACCAAATTCAGCCCAAAATTGACCCCGAAATGACTGAGATTTTGTTAAAAATGGGAGAAATTGACCCAAAATCGCCCGAATTTCACCCAAAATCCGACTCCAAACCCCCAAATTCTGATCCGGGAGGGTGGAATTGACCCGAAATGACCCAAATTCGGTAAAAATTGACCCAAAATTGACCAAATTTGGATCAAAATTGACCCAAAAATCCCCCAAAAATCCCCCTAAAAATTCTTAAAAATTCCTCAAAAATTCCCAAAAATTCCCAAAAAATCCCAAAAATTTCCCCCAAAATTCCCCAAAAAAAGTTCCAAAAATTCTCAAAAATTCCCCCAAAAAATTCCCAAAAATTCCCAAAAAATTCCCCAAAAAATAAAAAAAATTCCCAAAAAAGTCCCAAAAATTCCCCAAAAATTCCAAAAAAATCCCAAAATTCCCCAAAAAATCCCACAAAATTCCTCCAAAAAAATCCCCCCAAAATTCCCAAAATTTTCCCCAAAATTCGCAAGAATTCCCCCTCAAAAATTCCCCAAAAATTCCTGAAACATCCCCCAAAAATTCCAAAAGAAATCCCAAAAAACCCCAAAATTCCCCAAAAAAATCCCTAAAAATTCCCAAAAAATTCCCAAAAATTCCCCAAAAAATGCCCCAAAAATCCCAAAAAATTTCAAAAAAAAAAAGCAAAAAAAATCCCAAATTTTCCCCCAAAGTTCCAACAATTCCCAAAAAATTCTGAAAAAAATCCCCCAAAATTTCCAAAAACTTTCCCAAAAAAATCCCAAAAAACCCCCGAAGAATTTCAAAATAAAATCCCAAAAATTCCCCAAAAATTTTTCAAAAAATCCCAAAAAATTCCCCAAAAAAATCCCAAAAAATCGTAAAAAATTTCAAAAAATTCCCCAAAAAAATCCCCCAAAATTCTCAAAAAATTCACAAAAAATTCCCAAAAAAACCCCAAAAAATTTCAAAAAAAATCCCCCAAAATCCCAAAATTTCTTCAAAAATTCCCCAAAAAATCCCAAAAAATCGTAAAAAATTCCCAAAAATTCCCCAAAAAAATCCCCCAAAATTTCCAAAAAATTCCCAAAAATTCCCTAAAAAATTCCCAAAAAACCCCCAAAAAATTTCAAAACAAATCCAAAAAAATTCCCAAAATTGCCCCAAAAATTCCCAAAAAAGTTCCAAATATTCTCAAAAATTCCCCAAAAAATCCCCAAAAATTCCAAAAAAATCCCAAAAAAATCCCAAAAAAAATCCCCCAAAATTCCCCCAAAATTCCCCAAAAAATTTAAAAAAAAAATCCCAAAAATTCCCAAAAAATTCCCAAAAATTCCCCCCAAAATTCCCAAAAAAACCCAAAAAAATTTCAAAAAAAATCCCCCAAAAATCCCAAAATTTCCCCAAAAAATTCCCCAAAAAATTCCCCCAAATTCCACAAAAATTCCCAAAAAATCCCAAAAAAATTTAAAAAAAAACCCCAAAAAAATCCCAAAATTTCCCCAAAAAATTTCAAAAAAAAATCCCAAAAATTCCCTATAAATTCCAAAAAAATCCCCCAAAAATCCCAAAATTTCCCCAAAAATTTCCCCAAAAAATTCCCCAAAATTCCCATAAAAAATCCCCAAAAATTCCAAAAAATTCCCTAAAAATTCCCAAAAAATTTCAAAAAAAATCCCCCCAAAATTCCCAAAAATTTCCCCAAAATTCCCCCAAAAATTCCCAAAAATTTCCCCAAAATTCCCAAAAAAAATCCCCAAAAATCCCCAAAAAATTCCCCAAAATTCCCCCAAAAATTCCAAAAAAAATCCCAAAAAATTCCCAAAAAATTTCAAAAAATTCCCAAAAAAAATCCCAAAAATTCCCCAAAAATTCCCAAATTTCCCCCGGATTTTTCCCGGATTTTCCCCGGGATTTTCCGGAATTTTCCGCACCTCTGGATCTCCTGGCGCTGCGGGGGCTGCAGCCCCGCCCCCTCCTCCAGGGGCCCCTCCCCCAACTCCTGGCGCAGCTCCCGGAGCGCGGCCGAGCTCAAAGCCCGGAGCCGGAGCCGGGAGCGGGATCGGGATTCGGGATCCGGAGCCGGATCTGGAACAAAAAGGGTTAAAAAATGGGGTGAAAAACGGGGATTTTGGGAAAAAATGGGGATTTTGGGAAAAAATGGGGATTTTTGGGATTAAATTTGGGAGTTTTGGGGTTAAAATGTGAATTTTTGGGGAAAAAATGGGGGTTTTTGGGTAAAAATTGGGATTTTTTGGGAAAAAATTGGAATTTTTGGGGTTAAAATGTGAATTTTTGGGGAGTTTTGGGGTAAAAATTGGGATTTTTGGGATTAAAATGTGGAATTTTGGGTGAAAATTGGGATTTTTTGGGAATAAATTCGGGATTTTTGGAGATAAAATTGGGATTTTTTGGGATAAAATGTGAATTTTTGGAGAGTTTTGGGTGAAAATTGGGAATTTTTGGGATTAAAATTGGGAATTTTGGGTGAAAATTGGGATTTTTTGGGAAAAAATTGGGATTTTTGGGGCTAAAATGTGAATTTTTGGGGATTTTTTGGATTAAATTTGGGAGTTTTGGGATTAAATTTGGGATTTTTGGGAGTTTTGGGTGGAAAATGTGGAATTTTGGGTGGAAATTTGGGGTTTTTGGGGATAAATTTGGGATTTTTGGGGTTAAAATTGGGCATTTTGGGATTGCCGAGCTCAAAGCCCGGAGCCGGAGCCGGGAGCGGGATCGGGATTCGGGATCCGGAGCCGGATCTGGAACGGGAAGGGTTAAAAATTGGGGTGAAAAACGGGGATTTTGGGAAAAAATGGGGATTTTGGGTGGAAAATGGGGAATTTTGGGGTAAAAATTGGGATTTTTTGGGAAAAAATTGGGATTTTTTGGGATAAAATTTGGGATTTTTGGGGTAAAATGTGAATTTTTGGATAAAAAAATGAATTTTTGGGGAGTTTTGGGTGAAAATTTGGGATTTTGGGGATTAAAATTGGGAATTTTGGGATAAAATTTGGGATTTTTTGGGAAAAAATGGGGATTTTTGGGATTAAATTTGGGAGTTTTGGGGTTAAAATGTGAATTTTTGGGGAAAAAATGGGGGTTTTTGGGTGAAAATTGGGATTTTTTGGGAAAAAATTGGGATTTTTGGGGATAAAATGTGAATTTTTGGGGATTTTTTGGTTTAAATTTGGGAGTTTTGGGATTAAATTTGGGATTTTTGGGATTTTTGGGTGGAAAATGTGGAATTTTGGGTGGAAATTTGGGGTTTTTGGGGATAAATTTGGGATTTTTGGGGTTAAAATTGGGCATTTTGGG